ACGAAACTGGGTCCCTGTTTGGTGGAATAAAGGCGCAACTTCATTCAGGACATTTTCCCAACTCTAAATTATTCGATACAAGCAGATATTCTGGGTATTTCTCTCGCTGTCTTCTCACTATCCTCATACATAATCGCTGCCGTTGTCGTCGTTTTTTTCATCCTCAATTTTTGCTGTCTACCTATCGTCTCCTGGTCTTTCGTCCCACTTCCTTGTACCCGCATATCATCTAGGCCATAGTCATCTTCTACTGTCAGCGTCTGATCCGCGATTACTCAATCTTTTTCGTCCCCCGGTGTGTCCAAAGGTCTAATACAATAGCGGCTGGACGAGTCATATCACTAGGCGAATGGTACAGAAAGACGACTTGGCTTGCTGTCTGGTTCAGTAGAGAGAGGAGAGCACACCTACACATGCTGTGTTTGGTTACTGAATGAATTGGAAGTAAAAGTATTGGATAGGGCGAGTGGGCTGTATAACTGCTGGCGGTTATTTTTCTTTGTTCTCTCTGGTAAAGTTGAGTTTATGACGTGGATTCCATAGTTTAGATACCCTATTTAATGAAGTTTACTCTGAATTGCTTTCATGTTTAACCATATATTGTTTCTGTGTATACTGTGCTTTATCTGCTTTCTCATTTGGAGAGTCTTGTTTTGTATGTCTATTGTATAGAAACTAGTTAATCAATGACTGAGAAAGTAGAATTGACAACTGGAGAAAAGAGGTGATGCAAATCTGGAAGTTGCTATTCTTATCACTATCCTTTTATCATTACTCTTCTCACCATTCCACTCTCTTTTGAGCCTCCTTCCTTCTTTTGATTGATATCTGCAGCGTATTCCATCTCGTATGCATGTTATTTTCAGTCTTTATAAGATTACCAGCCACATGTAGCATTGTCACATCATAGCAATCGCAATCACTTCCAAATTTATCGAAAAACTCCATATGTATATAGCATTGTGACATAATGTGTGTAGTATGGTGTAATGTTCGTCTTTTCTACATACCTAGAGTCCTGTACTTTAACGTGTGGATGAACTTATGATGTTTAAAGTAGGAGATAGAGTTTATTTCTATGATAATGGTGGTGTTGACGAGAAGATATATTGTTGAAGCCATATTCGTCAATGGTGTATATCTTTGTCTCCTAATTGGGGGATGGTCACGCCCAGAGACTTTTGGATTTTCGACATCGATTGCATTCTTTGGATTCTTTAGCACCTACTGCCGTTGGTGCTGGCACTGGTGCTGATCCCAATAGTAATTGCCCAAGGCTCAGCTGATTCCGTGCCGGATTTGGAAATGATCATCTACATAATTTAATGGCATACCCGATCCAAAAGTCCTGGAGGCCGTTTGGCACATCGACTGACCCTGATGAGAGCCGAGGATTGATTTCTAGAGTCTATAAGCCGACAGATATCACCTCTCGCATGGTAATGTCGACTCACGGGTTGCAAGCTTGTACCGAAAGCTTGGAACCCATTGAATTGAGAATGTTGTTGATTGGGTGCGTTCGATGCTTCCACGTGGGTCTACCATATTTGTGATCTTTTTTGTTCCGGAAGCTTTTGGTAATCATGTATATGGGAAGTGTTGAGGTCTCAAAGGCGTTGAGAGTTCTATTGTTTCACGACATTACAGCTGTCATTATTATTACCTCATATTCATGGCAGTTGAACCAGGATAGTGCAATGGGATTATGAACAGTTGAACATTCTATCATAGGCTCTCTCCCTTCTAATTGATCGGCAAATTATCGTGATCCAAGAAAGTTTATAATGTACTATTGAAGTCTCACCGTCTCAGGCCTAAACCTTACAAGAAACTTTTAGCGAGAAGCTACTGCGCTGGGCACACGACTAATAAGCGCGGTACATCAGAATCGACATACAATGCTCTTAAATCTACGAAATCCCGATAAAGTATACTTTAACATACAGTATGATTGTTAATTATCAATTTGTCACTTTAGATTGTGCTATTGAGAATTGGGGGATTCAAAACATTGATCTATTTTAAGCCTCAATTAGTATTTTGATGAACTATATGCCGAACAAACATGTCCCACTTATAGAATTGCCAGGGTCTCTTCTTTCCTGGTTTACCCCTCAGTCACACGCACCTACCCCACTTACTTTGAATTGCCGAAATGTCCCTTCCCCAGTCCTACATCAGTTCAACATTTCCCCAGGTTTTATCTAATCTATGATGTGTTCGTGTTTCCTTCATTATCAATCAAAGTCCTTCGTTCTACGATTAATGTAGGACAGAGATATCTGAACTTCAAATATTCGTCATCCTACATCAGACACCACAGAATACAACAGTGTTACATGAAATATATATAAAGAAAGATTATGAACTATTTGTGAACTTTCTTACGACTTCATTACGTTCTGGAACGGCTTTGAATGCCTTTGGATGCTGTGATTATCTGTTGATCGATACAATCGCACTGCTTGGATACCTTCCATATTCAAAATTCCACTCGGCAATTCCTGACCAACTCGATTCTTCCCACAATGTCGAACCTTGAAGGTCGAGCTCTATTTACAGCCGCGACATCTTTAACATGTCTTGGATTTCTTCTCATAGGATACGATAATGGATTGATGGGAGGGTAGTTTCCATTCCATACATTCTCACCGCATTTCTTTGATCTTATACGCTGCCATTGAATCTCTTGTAACTAACAGTTCAGCGCAGACTCGTTAATGCAACAGGGTTCAAAGATACATTCAACAATCCTGACCCCACCATCGTCGGCCTGATCGTCGCTATCTATGAAGTGGGGTGTTTCCTCGGGAGCGTGGCTACATCCTTGTTTGGAGAGAATATTGGAAGGAAGAAATCAATTGGAATAGGAGTAGTGATCATGATAATTGGGGCACTACTGCAAGCATCAGCTTACTCGAGAGCTCATATAATCGTTGCACGAGTGGTTTCTGGGGTTGGGATGGGATTTATAAATAGCACAGTTCCTGTTTTCCAAGCAGAGTTCAGCCCTAAAGCAACGAGAGGATTGTGTAAGAAAGATACCGAATGTCTAGAAGAACCACTATGCTGACTATAACAAAGATGTCTGTATGCAGTTATCGACTTTGAATTTTGGAATATTCTTAGCTTATTGGGTTGATTACGGCTTTACGCAATCATACACTGCATCGTTTTCTTGGAGAGTACCGACGATTCTCCAATGTATGTTCTTAGTACCAATGCTTGGTTTACTCGCCATAGTTCCTGAATCTCCTCGATGGCTGGCAGCGCACGAGAAAACGGATGAATCCTTAAATGTCCTCGCTCGATTACATTCATATCACATGACAGAGGAGCAAATAAATTCTTTATATATAGACATTGTCCGCACTTGCGAGTTCGAAAAATCACTGGGAACAGGCTCCTGGAGTGATCTGTTCAAAAATGACGCAATCCAATCGCAACGGCGCTTCCTGATTGCATGCGCCATCCAATCTTTCCAACAATTAGGCGGGATAAACGCATTGATATACTACTCCAATACTCTTTTCTCGACATCCCTAGGATTCTCGGATCATCTCAGTGCGCTTATGTCAGGGTTTCTCCAAACTTGGTTCTTTGCCGCCAGTTTTATTCCTTGGTTACTTATTGATCGAATTGGGAGACGCCCTCTACTTTTGTCAATGATTTCGGTCATGTCAATAGTAATGATTGTACAAACGGGATTGATTTGTAACGTGCAAAATAATACATCAATTGCCAAAGGTTGTGGTATTGGTGCGGCGGTGATGTTGTTCATTTTTGAAGGGGCTTTTACTATTGGATTCCAAGCGACAGTGAGTACTTTTCATATCTTTGATTACTTTACGAATACACTCGCCAGTTTCATTGAAATTTTTAAGGGCTCCATATTTCAAAAATTCTACCTGCTCCATTTATTCTATTTGCCATTACTGATAGTCACCGACCCTCACTTCTAGGTCTGGGTCTATCCTTCTGAAATCCTTCCTCTTCGTCTTCGTCAACGAGGTTCCTCGGTCTCAACAGCATGCAACTGGATTTTTAATTACATGGTCGTACAAATTACTCCGATTGCATTAAACAATGTAGGGTATAAAACCTACATAATATTCGGGGTACTAAATGCGTGCTGGATTCCAATCATATATCTCTATTTTCCCGAAACTAAAGGATTGGAATTAGAAGAAGTTGATAAAATCTTTGAGAGAAGTCGTGGGGTGATCGAGAGATTGAGCGGTATAGAGAGAGATGATGAGGAGTCTGGGGGTATAAGTGCATTGGATGAGGAGGGCAGAAATACCGGTTCCGAGAATTGCAGTGGAAGCGGGAGTGGCAGTGGTAGTAGCGTTGTTGATCAGAGGAAGTTGGGTATTGATACTGGGAAAGGAACGAAAGAAGAAATAGAGCGCGTGACGAGCGAATAGCATTCTTATACCGATGGGCGCTGAGATGGGTCTGTAGTTGAGAATTGGGTTCGAGTTTGTGTATATCTGTGTCAATGGTGATCGAGTAAAGAAACGAGGGTGTGGATTTTGAAAAATGCTATTTTGCGATTTGGAGGCTCCAGCTTTGAAGTTTCATCATGCGATGGACACTACGATGGGATGGCAAGAGATGAGATTGGGCTCACGATCGAATGTCGGCGGGAAGAAGTCACAAACGAACGATGTACAAATGAGTGACTTTTCTTGTATTCGAGATCAACAGAGTGTCATTTTGATTGTTGGTATACTGCCTTCGGCTGATTCTCTCAATGCAACTTTAAAAGCTATTTACTTCATCACCACGGTATTTCCCCCCAATTTTGCGCAAAAGAGTATGATTTGCTTATTTTGACCGATGCAGAACATTCCTGTGCACAGAAGAGGTAGATTTTCTGCATAATCGAACAGACGTTGATCGACAGAAAGCAAAATAGTAGATCAAAACTCCACTTTCTGTTTAAAAAATACATGTTAGCAAGATTTCAATCTTTTCAGAATAAAGGAATACTTACATCAGACGCAATACTTGCACACGATGTGTACAAAAAAAGCGACAAACAACACGATCATAACTTGACTGATGAATAGACTGAATCGAGCCTCCTTCCTTTCCTTCTCAAGACGTTTCTGGCGCTCCTCAATATACATCTGTCGGTACAGTTGACGCTCCTCTATAAAGATCTTGAGATGCGCTCGGCGCTGCTCGATGTACATCTGTAATTCTGTCTCTCGATCGGTTGTGTATTCGGCAAAAGCATCATCTGCTCTCATGCTTGCCGCAAGATCTTCGATGATTCTTTGGGATTGTGGATCCATTTCGGGATATGTTTCGTTGTTGTTCATCTTGTTTGGTGGAGATGATGTTTTGATCTTTGACTTTATTCTGGAATTATCTAGATAGAAAGAGAGATGTTTTTATATTTCATGAGCTTGATAGATCAGGAAACTAGAACTGAACAAGTGTCCTTAATAGATATTCACCAATCTTGAAGAATTTGGAAACGATCAAATTCCATTACGGTGTGTGAATAAGAACTTGATTTTACCATCTCTGATAAAATAGTACGAAGTAGCCGGTAGCCAAAGCCGTATCATTATTCTCCAGACCAGATTCTCTTTTCTCGTGTCGGCTGTGGTACTAACCTCAATCCGCGGGTCAACATCAAACCATCAGGTTACAGAATATCTCGTAGCGATCCTCTTGTACCCCCTCAATTATTCTATCCCATGTATTCACATAAACAAGCATACAGCTGTCTCAAACCTCTAGGAATGTCTGTTAGATCTTTACTAAAGTGCTAAATATCAACTAGGGACAAGTGATTGACACAGTCATGCAAAGATATTGTGATTTGAACTAGAATTGAAATTTCTGTCGTGTTTCCTGCCATCTCCTCTCATTCTTCTTCTCTGCCCTACTTCCTTCCCCTCATCTCTCTTCTTCCCATATCCATCCACTTTTCTCTTTGAAAGCCAAACAAAATTCTGAGAATTGGTATCCCACGAAATCAAAACATCTAGAAACCCGAAGCTCTACATTTCATATAAATCACGTTTTCTCAGCGCAACCATTACCCCCAGCACCATCAGTTAGAGACCTTTCTACACGATATCCATGTAAGTTTCCATGTCATGTTTTCTTCACGGGATACTTAAATAACATTGTAGGTATATCCATCGAGCCGCTTCTTTGATTTACCTTCCAAATTGATTTGCATCCTGTAATATTTGATTCTATTCTAGACTAGATACATCTTAGAATAAACGTCAACATGCTGTATGATTTGTGTATGTGCACAAGTCCCTGGGAATATAGACAATGAATGCAACGTATGTGGTATTACCACTACGTATCAATTCCGCGACCGCAGTTTCCCATGAGATTGTGTTTCGGAGTAGAGCTCATCAAAACAGATAGAGTTGAAATTTCATAATAGAAATTTCATTCACTTAGTCTTTCATCAAATCTCTGCACAATTTCAACTCTCCACTCAATCGCTCACTGCTATACACTCCTCTGTTTGTTTTCCCGAGAATATGTGCCTCTCAAATGTTATATGCAAGACACATTCATTTGACGCTATTTTTGCCACCGCGATTCTTGGCTAAAAGTTTATTTTGCCTTCTTCGCTCCTGCTTTCTCCGGAGACGATGTTTCTTTTCGCATTTACATTTGCGTCTGCAAGCTCGTTTTCCGCGGCAAGCCATTGGAGCTTGTTGTTGCAGACTCTGGACAGTTGGCGAAGAGGCAGGTAATGCAGTCAGATCCGGGTCTTGATTGAATGCATTCCAGGGCAACCTGTCTACAGGAAATGTGCTAGATGATGAGTTATCAGTCAGTGGCTCTCCAGGAAATGTTCTTCCTGAGAAAATTTCTCTTCCAGGTTGTAAACTTTCGTTACCATAAAAGCCGTTCGAATGCATGGGTCGGTGGACTAATTGATTGTTAGGGATGAGTTCCGGTCAAGATAGCTGGAGGGATTCACCACGAGATTGCTCTTGGTCCAAGGTCGAGCTCTGAGAGACAGGAACTTCTCTATGATGTCTCCCGACAACCATATCTAAACGATGCGAAGATTTCCCGAACTCAGCACCATCTTCAGAGCTTCTCCTCTGGGGATTATGAGTCCCGCTTTCCCTTGCATTTTCCTCCAAAGATCCGGTCAAAGTATTATCGATTGCGCCGCCGTCGTTGCTGATGTTCGATACTGCACCACCGAAGGAAGACGAACTTGAATCACCATTTGACATCATGTCGCTTCCAACTTCTGCTTCCCATGTTGGCATGTAATCAGGATCTAAATCTCGCCGAGCCCTTCTATTTGTTGGAACGACACGGTCAGAGGGTTCCTGCAAGTCTAGAATTACAGAACTAGTGGCCAAACGAGAATTAGTCTGGATCTGTGTTGGTATTCCAGACCGGACTGTCGCGTCTTCCATGAATTCTGCTTCCTTGTTAAATATATCGCGTAGAACTTCCCGAGTTTTCTTAGCAGATTGACGCTGGCCCGTTGGCCTGATTGTTCCTGTACTATCCATTGGCTGATTGTGATCTATTGTTTCTGATTTGACCCTGTTTTTACTTCCAAATGGACGGCCTCGTTTCTTGCCACTCAGACCCACTTGTGAACTTTGGCGTGAAGTCGGTGTCGAAGCTTGAGAAGAACTTGCTGGCGAAGAGTCTAAAACAATTGCATGGTAATTCTTCAAAGGTCTGCCGCGACGTCGTTTCGGGCCGATAGGACAAGAATAGATAGCTTCGCCCTCTATGTACTCAACCTTGCGCTTCATGCCCTTTGGTGATATTTGGCTGTTAGCTGAAAGTTGATTCGCGGGAAGACATGGGCTTGCAGAACTGGGCCATCCCGGAAGCTCAACGGTAAAAGTATTTCTATGATGCTCCTGTTTTACATTGCCTCCATCGCCTAACCCAGAGTCCCGAGTCGTTTCACAAGAATCGTCGTCTTCAATTTCTATTGAATTCGAAAGCTGCTCTATGTTTTCTATGAATGGTTCCCGTGGTGATCCCGAGAGTAGTTCCGGTAATGGTTCTGGTAATGGATTTGGTAGTGATTTTCGTAGTGGCTCTGGTAACGGTTCTGGAAGACATTCTGGGAGTGGTTTCGAGGTAGGCTCAGGGAGTGGCGCCGATGTCTCGGCAACAAGTCTCGAAGATTGAATTAAAGTCTCTGTAACAGGTTCATCAACTTGATCAGGTGAAGGTCTATTGCTTATTTCTGAAATGGAAGATTCTGTAACAATGCTTGATCGAGATCCAACCCCCAGTCTTCTACGTGTGATCCCCGCAGCTTTCCGAGTCTTGCAGTGCAGACATGTGGTAGGTGCTGGACGCATCGGACTAACAATTGAACCTTCAGGTAACACGATTGGCTTTCGACAACTATCGCAGTTGTAATGACTACTTGGCATGTTGTCTAGGAAATCATGTTCATCTTCCTCGCTGTCCGTTGACTCTGCTGTGCCCGTAGTTTTTTCGACGCCCGGATTGGCGCCGCCTGTACGAACTAAATTGCCATCCAGCTCCTGACCATTCATATCGATAGGAACAGGACTGCCCAGATCACTAGTGTCACTGAAATCCTCCTGCACTTCTTGGCTCATATTTCCCAGGATCTCATTTTTCGCATGAGCTTCATGCATTGATTTAATGTTCCTCCGAAAACTGTCAACAAGATTGTTGAACGCTTCAAACGAAAACTCTTTAGTAGATACATCGCGTGGAGATCCAGCTCCGATACTTGCAAGTTGATCGTAAGGAAAATTGGCGACACCAGAAGCACGAGCTAAAGCGAGGTATTTGACTGAAATATCATTGGCTAATTGAATTATGTCATCTTGCGGTCTATCAGTCGTTACTGAAGTCGTAACAGACTCGCTTGCTCCAGGAGTCGAGAATTGGGGAGTCGCGCTCGTAGAATTATCATTGACAGTTATTCCACGTGCGTTGGCAACGCTACTGAGAAGAGTGTTTAGCGCTTTCGAAATATCTGTGCCGGACACAATTTCTTTCATTGTGCCACTATTCGAAGTATGAAGCGCTTCCGTAGTTGTGTTTATCGAGGTTGCTTGCAATCCTACGTTATCGATCGTTCCAGGGTCTTTCTTTGAATTACTATTGAGAATGGGTAGAAGTTGCCTGTCGACTAAGCTTTGCGAGTCCACAGAATCAGAGCGACTTCTCCGTTCCAGGATACTTGATTGATAGGCTGCCTCGTCATTGTGCAATATCGAGCTGTCCTCTGAAGAAGGAGTTGGATGTAAACGTGATGAATCATATTCTTGCCTGGCATTTGCTTCACCAATTTGCCGATTTAGCACTACCCTCGCTGGAGATCCAGAGCCTGCTTCAGTTTCGAACTGATCCCCTCGATTTTGGTCCACGTTTGAAGTAGCACTCGCGCCATGATCGCGGGCATGTGTCACGTGATTGGTAGTTTGCACGTCTGCGTCCTCTAATTGCGCCGTATCATCTCTTTTATTTTCACCGTCTTCTTCGTTGTTGTCCTCCACGCCGTTCGTTAGGAAAAAGGATTCCGCAACTTCTTTTCCTCCTGGACATTTCAAGATCATGTTCATGATCAGTTCCTGAAGCTTAAAGTTTCCCGCCGCATCGATCTTCTTTGAGAGTGCCTCGAGTGTTTTAGCCCGCTCAACGCGTTCATGATTTGTAGTCGGTGACCGAAGAAAAAGGCTTGCTGTCGATGCATGATTGGAAGTAGATGGCAAAGAATTTGTGATGGAAGGCGATGCGGGAAATGGTGACCGGGATGGTGTTGTGGGAGCTTGTTCCACGCGTCTTGCTGCAGCTTCACGAGCTCTTCGTTCAGCTGCTCTAACTTTTGCCTGCTCGATTCGTTGTTTAGTACCAAGCTTAGCAAGTGATGATAAATCGTCATTGCGACCTTCTTCCATAACGACGTCCGACATGACCGCTATGTGCAATTCTTGTATAGCGTGGCAAAGTTCGTGCTTTTATTTTGTTTGTGAGAGCTTTCAGAAATAAATTTCCTTTATCTCGTATCTCAACATGGCGAAGGGCAGTATTGAAAGCCAAAAACAGGAATAAATAGTTGATCAATTTTATGTAACACTATCAACTTAATGAATCATTGTCAGTGAACATGTCAATTGTTTGTATTTCGAATTATTTACTATCCTCTCATCTGGTCACAGCATACTTCACCAAGCTTACGTAACTCCTAATTTTGTCTGCCAGTCACGTGAAATTTAAAAGATGAAAAGACAATGCACCACCACTTCACGTACATTGAGATTAACTTGGCAACAATTTCATGAAATTTTGATACAAACGCTCGAATTCAATCAACACCTGAGTATATAATCGTCGATGTTGCTTCTAATTGCAAAGACTGTCTCAGCTCAATGGCCATCCCCCACAATACCCTGTCCCTCCAAAATGAATTCTTTTCACCACCTCGAGGTCTTGTCTTTTAAATGTCGCCAATTCCCTCAAGGTCCTCTCCCAGTATAAAAATCGAATGTTCCTCGGTCACAGAAGTACTCATATGCTCAATTCAACACCCTTGTATAGTCTTCTGTTTCCTGTACACACTATCGCAATCATATCTGGCCCTCTTGGCCGCCGGTTCCTCAATATTTTGCATGTCCTCGGATGCATCAGATGAGTCGGAACCATCATGATCTTCGTAGTCATTCAATGAGTCTTCGGGGGTGGTTTCGAACATGTTTCTGGGCTCTTTGACTTCTGCCAACACTTCGTGTCTCGTGTTCTTGCAACCCCAATCGCTTCCAAATTGTGAACAGCAAGACCAAATCCAACGATCCTCGAAGTCCGGGTGATCAATAAGAGACTCAATTGCTCCGTCTCTCTTCAGATCATGATCTGCCCATATGATATCGTCAGGATCCGTTGTCCTTTGACCTGGGATTGTTAGCAAGATAGGCATGGGACGAGAAATTTGGAATGTACCTGGATGCCATAGACAGTCGTTGGACGGATTGTTGTCGATGCAGAAGTAATTATAACAGTTATTGCATTTGAACATTGTAGGGTTGTCCGGATGTTTTCTCTTGTTGGCTTTGACTAAGTCATGAATTTCGTACTTGGACTTGATCGGCACGTCTTCAACTTCGATTTCAACATCCTTTTCTCTTTCCTTGTAGTTATCGCAGTCCCTGAAGTTAGTAAGTCTAGGCTTGCCGTCATGAAAGCCATCGACTTCGAAGAATATCTTCTCCGGCTTGACGAAAAGCTTTCCATGACGATGCTTCAAAGAAAAGCCTTTGCTGTCACAGACCAACTTGAGAAGATTGCGGAGCCCTGGAGCATCCATCTTCTCAAGTTCTTCGCATAATCTTGAGTCAATCATGTTTTACGCGCTGGGATGCAACCTTTGAAGACGAACAGTATAAAAGCTGTGGATCCTAGAGCTGTGGCTACCTAGGTAGGTGTAAAGAAAGTCGTTGTTGAGAAGGAAAGCAGATACATTTGAAAGTAGGTCGAGACACAGATCTACTCGCTAATCTCAGTAGATACGGTCTCTTCCATCACAAAAATGAAGTGGTGATAGCTAAGAGGTGAATTCCGATGATGCCTCTTGGAATTCCTATGGAACAATTCGTCCAAGGCATGGAAAAGATGTAAGGAGATTCCAGACCACATAATGATCTTATGGTGAATAAGAGCAAACTCCTCACTCTCTGCAAAAAGATTTGTTCGAGAATGTCTGGAATTAATACAAATCATATCTTTACACAGTTTAAGACAGTTAAAGAAAGCCTATGCAGCTGCTTGTGGTTTGATTGCTGAGATGGTTGCAAGACACAAAGTAAATCTGTCTCCCTCACATCAAATAAACAGCAAATGCAAAAAAGATTTGTCAGATTGAAAGCAATGAATGATATGAAGAGCTGGTATTATCAATCTATGTAAATATCCCTCATCGTGTCTTCTTTAAACGTTCATCCTCAAGCATTTAAGAGAATTATCTGCGTTTGGAAGATCAAGACTAGGTATAAACCGCCATCATGGTTATCGCTACGACCATAACAAACTAATAAGCCTCAGTTTTAGTTCTCTTGCTGTTTCTTTCCTCCAATGCTTTATGTCTTGTAAATATACACGCTTCCGCATCTGAATAACGATCACAACAACTCCAGAGGAAACGATCAGCATACTCCGGATCATCTAAACTCTTCCACGGCTCTCCATGATTCGGCCAATGATAATCCTCCGCATAATTCGCATCTAATTCTCTGATGCCTAGAATGAGTGTCAATGACCAAACGTAACACGAAGATAGAACACTTCAATACATACCTGGATGGAAGGAACAATAGCCCTTTTGGTTTTCCTCGATATTGAAGTCGGAACCACAGTTCTCGCACTCAAATATCTTCAGATTTCTCTTCTTTGAAGCTACCAAAACTCGCAAATGCTTTTCCTTTTCAGCGTACATCTTTTCTAAGTAGTCCTTCTTTGATGAAAGCAGTTCCTTGATCTCGCTTTTGCGCAAAGCTGGCACATCGTTGTCATCATCAGAGTCCCATGAGTCAATCTCCGATTCCTCTTCACTGTATCCTTCCTTGCCTTCAAATGCTTCCTCGTCGTCTTTGTTTGTCTGTTGATCCGCCGATTTTACTAATCCAGCTTCTTCATCTATCTTTTGCTCTACCATTTGTTGATTTGTTTCCATATCCTCGAGTTCAGACAAATTCGCGATGTCAACGAATGCAACTTCTCCATTGTCTCCTTCTTCCTTAGCAAGCTCGTCGTTGTCGTTGTAATTTCCAACCCCACCATTCTTGTTTCGCTCGCCCTCACCATCGCTATCGTCACTTTGAGTAAGGTCAATGAAACCATTTGAGATAACGATGTTGCGGACTTCGACCTCGATTTTACCCATCGCATCATCAATAGTAAACTTACCACACTCACATAGCTTGTTGAGAAGTTCTCGAAGTCTTGGTGCGTTCATTCCGTCGAAGGCATTCTTGAGTCTCGGGTTACCCATTGTCATTGTCGTTGTATTGACGAAGTTGTATCGGTGTTGTTTTTCGCGTTGTCAATGTAGTAGATCGCTGGGATGCGCTTGAGTAGTCATTTCGAAACAACAACGCACCTTGCAGTCACTGAATTCACTATTTGCTTAGATAATCTCAGGCAATTTTAAATCTATGCAACTTCATTTTTCGTAAGAGATATTGTTTGGCCTGTATTCATTGTTTTATCGGATCTCTAATCGATTATATGCTTTTCTATTGATTGGCTGCCCATGCAACCTCCTTGCCCCCCCCCCCCCCCCCCCCCCCCCCCGGGTGTACAAAAACAATACTAGGTACCAAATGGTTGATCTCGATTCCACTATCATATCAATAGTCGCTATAATAACAGGTATACTACCACGGTACTTTTCCAATTAGCTGATTCGTCTAAACCCACAGTCTGGGCCTCTTTCTATGAATTGGGGACTCAGGCTCATCAGGGTCTTCGTCAGGTTCTTCGTCGGGTTCTTCGTTGGGTGTTTCAACTTCCACTCCATGATCAATTGCTTCCTCTTCTTCTGGATATTCATCTGATGAATCCTGTTCTCCGCTCTCACTGGAGCTCTCATCTTGCGGCTTGACTCGGTCAATAATATCCAGAGTAATTGTTCTCCCGTCTATCATAAGTTGCTCGCCTTCAATGAATGAGAAATAGACAGGTTGAGCATTACACAAAACTATAAGGGTTTTTCTAAGTTCATCAGGAGTCATTTTCTCCAATAAATCGCAAGTTGCGGCTTCGTGTGTGAGGACAACTCGAGTGCCAACTATCAAGATTACCGCGATTATACGCCGCAAAGTCAAATCGTCCTTTTCATTGATATATTCCTCATCAGCGGGCACATCCAGCTTGTAGACTCCTCCGCATGCCATGTGGATAGCCCTCCGAAGTTGTGGAGCTCTCATTTTTTCGAGTGCGAACCAGATCCTTCGTCTCCAGACGGCATCCTCGTCTTTTTTGCGACCTTCGAGCACCTCTTCAAACAGCGATTCATCTTCGTCCTCGTCTCCAACTTCATTATAATCTGAGTCACCCTCCTCCCATAGTTTGACTTGGGAGATTACTCTCTGACCTTCCAAACGAAGATCGCAACGAATCTTGGCTCCACGAGTACTTTGGTCGATACAAGATTTATAATACAAATCCCGAACAAACTTTCGAATTTCCTCGACATCCATAGCAGTGTATGCCGTGACCATCTTTCGCGGATTATTATGGGATAGCTTTGATGGGTCAATATTGATCACGAAGATAGGCTCATTTTTTTCATTGTAAATAGGGCATCCGTAGCCTTCGTCCATGACAATTTGAGCCATAATTGTTCGAAGAAAATCTTCATCCAACTTTAGAAGAAAATCGGTGAGATGTGCTCCCAAGTCTGCCTCAGTGAAAAATCTTGGATACTTTTTCCGTTCCATATCTTCCCCAATCTGAAAATTTTGAGTCTCGATTAAGATGTATTCATTCAGTATTACTCTTATTTTGGTGGCATCGCTTTCGATTTGTTTCTGGTTATCAGAAAAAGAATGGTATTGGTTAAATGTTTCATTTTGTCAGGACACGCCTGTAAACAATCAAAGCTTTCTGCTTCGTGTTCGCTCTTGCATTTGTCATGGGTAGCGATGACCCTGAGAATGACGTGTGACCAGACACCTGGAGCCACAAGTAGCTACGTGTGATTGACTACCCCAGTGGTCGGAAGGAACCTCCGTCGGTTCACAAGTTCCTTCCTCTGCGAAGATTCGTACGAATCTGCACAAAGAATATTCCAGCATCACCGGTCAACCATTGACTGCACCATTCCTCACAAAACTCATCAAGAACAATGCGAAGTTCATAAGCCCGCTCACGGGAAACGTGTTTGTAGACTCCCAGTTTGCTGCACCACATGATTTTTGGTACAAACTTGATAAATTCTACATTTGGCTCTTCGGCACGGATTGTAAATTTGTAAAAGTCGTTACGATGAATGTCCTTGGGTCTTTCGTGAGACTCTGGTGCGTCCAACCTCTCGAAATATTTGTTGAGTCTTGTATCGATGGCTTTTCTGAGTCCAGAATAGTCGAGATCTCTAACAGATACGTTGGTAGGTGCGTCGGAGTCGGACATCTTTTGCTGCGGTTTTTGTTGATTTAAATCTTGGTTGTATTGAAGTATAAATGATGTCGAATTGATTTCAATTAAATTGCTATGAAGCTCAATCGATTTGAATTTGGACCGGAACCGATTAATAAAAGGATGGGGATGTACTGAAATAGTAATTTACTGTAGTGAGATCATGTTTCACCATAACTAAATCACGTGTAGTGTATTTATTAGTATTCACTAGTACTGTACAGTAGCTAGGAAGATAGTGCCTCTACCTAACTTTAGTGCTCGACATCTGGCCTTTCCCAATGGAGAAATTCTTGATTCAGCGTGTCGTGAGTAAACCTTCTTATCTTCCCAACCAATACCGGAGGTGGGAGAAGTTTTTAGTGAATTTGGGAAGAGAGCATCAGGAATCAGAATGGGACATTCCCGAGTCGAAGACAAGTCTATCAGATCTGGGCTATCAAGATCATCACATCATGACACACCAAATTAGCGCGAATTACTTGTAGAGGTACTTTGCTCAGTGCTCATGAAGTTTTGATGTCATTACTTGCACTTCTCATTCCCATCTTCGTATTTTTGCTTCCCTCCATTCCATTGGTCGAGCAACGGAGCCAAGAATCTATTCCCATTCAAAAACTTGGCTCAGCTCCGAAAAGTTTGGATCCCCGATTTTCGTAACTCCTGAATTTTACTGCAGAAAGATTGCGAGTGCAAGATTGTGAAAGCACGAGCACTGGAAACCATGAGGGGTAGAGAATGGAGAAGGGACTTCATCAGATGAAGTGAATACGGAAGTATCCACAACTTTATATCATTAAGCTACAGAATTTGGCTACATTTTCTTGTTTTCTATTGTGCGGTACATGAACATGCTACCTTAAAGTAAGTCAGGTAAGTCCTTTGAATTTGACACTGCAACTGGAAGATATATTGCATTCTGTCGGCAAATTCCAAGGCCTATAGTTTCGCGCATCCTTCAAGACTTATTCCAATTTTGCAGTGCAAATCTGGCGTTTCTTCTTGCTCGCCTCATTCCGCCTTGAGCTACATATCTTATCATCCACCTTCTGAGTCTCGTGCTAAGTCGTCCCGACTTTTCCGCCGTCCAAGGATCAAGTCCAAGTTTCTCACGCCATTTGTTATCGATTGCCCTCGGGTTATGCAATACCTCAGATGCGAATGAAGATAATGGGCCCCGACAGACCTTCAGATCTAATAACTCTTTTGCCATAGGCCAAGTCAGCAAAGAAAGATCTTTTTCTTGGTAGGCGGAACATTGTGCCCAAGAGATCGTCAAGTTAAGCGCGTCGCGGACGTCAAATTGCAAGTCGAACCATGGGCCAATAGTAGCACTAGAGGCCACACATCCTCCCACAACTATAGCTTGCCCGATTATTGAATGACGGCTCGACTTGTGTTCTCGTAATACTAGGTAGCGAGGCATTTGGTATTTGATCTTAGTTGGCTCATTGCGGTCAAAATTTGCGTACGCTTGAGTCACGAGCAGGTCTCCTCGCTGTGTAGCTTTGGGTAGCAGCGCTACCAGGCCGCCTTCATTGTCCATAATTTTGACATAATCTTCCGGGATCTCCCCTTCGAAATCAGATAAGATCAGTTTTGGCCGGCGACCGCTTTTATTATGATGAAACATGCACCCCAATTCCCCTTCTATGTGCTTCTTATGAAACTTATAATTTGGTCGAACATCGAGCTTCCAATTGTTGTCCGTACCTTTTAAAATTCTACAAGAAAACCATTCTACGTCTTCTGCATTTGAATTGATAGGTTCATCAAGGTTGATGTCTCTTTCTGCGTGCTGATGTATATCAACGCTCTCTGGAGCTTTTTGTGCGAGGGATAGCTTCATACTCTGCGCGAGTGAGTAAGCAAGTGGTAATGCTGCTCGATAGCAACTTTCTTCTGAGCAATGTCCCTCCGAGCATTTCGATTGTTCGATTATTCTAGTCATTCCCAGAACTGCTAGTTCAAAAATATCTGCGGTGTAGTCTGGCGCAATAGGCAACACATCTTGCCAATCAACCATTGAGAGAACTCCATATATCTTGTCGCGGGGATCTTGGCATTGCAAGTCTCGTGTCAACTCTAATAGAGGGAGCAAAAGAAAATGCCGATCTGCTTTGCTCGCCCCATATGCCAAGTATCGATAACAAGGATCTGCACAGTAACCCCAACAAGAATTTGAAGCAGGATCGCAGCCGCTGTCCTGCCAGGCTACTATGGAAGCTCGTGTCATCTTTTGTCGATGCATTGTCAAGAAAGCAATGATGATCAAAAGATTATACGAGTAAAGTGGCCCAGTGTTCACTATCAGACTGTGTAGCTTGTGATGAAGTGTGTAAAGCTCGCCAATGGGACGATGATCACTTCCACAACAAACAATCACAGTTCCAGCAATGGAAACTTCCTGCAAGATCCATACTCGCTTGAAGTAGGGTCTCTCCATGAAGGTGAAGAATGCTCTGCGAAGCCTTCTCTTTCTGACGTCTTGGGTCTTGATGGCCCATATCAGAGATTCAATTGTATGTTTTATGACAGTAAGCCCAGAGGCTCCATCGATATGGCCAATTCCTGGCTTAAAGACCTTGGCTTTGCAGAAAAATCTCATCACTAGCTCGCTGTCATCACCATGGGAACCTAAACAAGCCAAGACACAGGAAGCGTTTCGATATATGTGCCCCATCATCTTCACTTGATCACCTTTCTCATCGATGTTGTATTGGTCGATACATATGGAATCCATCCAAACATATCGGACGCCAAACCATTTTGCTTGTCGCAACGCGTAATCCGCATTCTTATTTATTGTTAGACTTCTCCCGTCAATATTTATAGTTGTGATGAATTCTGGACTGCCCCACACGTAGGATATGGCATGGTATGGTGGTGTGTGGTCAACATGCCACGTGCTAACGTTACAACGTAATTCGGTCGTCGTATCTTCCCTGTCGACATTGTCAAGTTCTAATAATCGTATGAATGTTTTGGGATTCGACAAAGATTCATGGTGGAATTCGGATATAGAATTTGCCTGTGAATTTCTCGGCAAGAAACCGATTGTGCCTTCCATTCCTGAGGGTGCATCACTACTGCCCTCTACAGGAACTTGCACATGTTGTTCTCACATCACGATGTGGTACGAAAAGAAGCTGTGAAATACCCTAACGCGGTAGAAATACTGAGGTTTTTTATCTATGACTGCACGAACTTTTATAGCCCCCATGCAGAGATAAAAGGTACCCACTCAGTTACCGGGCTAGACGCATCCTCCAGCGACGATCAGTCGGAAGCTTATCTGGATCGATTTGATCATTTTGTACGCCTCTAGCACAGATCTGAATTCCTTTCCCCTAAAAGCTTCTCTTCAATACACGCAACCGAACCCCTTAAATCTGTTGGTACAAAGCAGTAAGTATTTTCCTTGTGTTACCAAGTTGCCTAATTACCCACAACACCCAAAAATTATGGATCAATCAACATCCATTATTCCGCGAATGAAAAGCCTCACATAAAAATAAGCAGGACACCTATATAGGATTAGCGCGGTTGGATTGCGGCCGTAAACCTTGCCTCAACCCCTCCTTCTCAAAGTACAGGCCCCAGGGAGCAATTTTATTTCCAAAGAAAGGAAGCACAGAATTGGTGACCTTCGTAATTGCGGATTCGTCGAAATTTTTCTGAAATACGTTATCTATCCAAAGAGGAGACACATTGACGTGAAAACGGATTATATATATACATCTCGAGTATCGCCCACAAACACGTCAAGATATTGCAATCATGGCCTCCTCTCCTACCTTCCCAGATATGACGATGTCGAACAAAGATAAAGAGAATGGAGGACTTACGCTTGCTATTATTGGTTGTGGTAAGTATCTCTCCTATTCTGCTCATCTATTTGTACTCTTGTGAGAGGTTGCACAGAGCACAGCTCATCAGCCCCTTGACAAGTCACCTGACATGCTTCCTTAGGAACAATGGGCACTTCAATTCTCACTGGTATTCTCAACGCAAAGTCCAAAGGCGCTGCTACAGATTCAAATATAAACACATTTATCGCCACAGTCAACACAATGGCTTCCGTAATACGATTGCGCAAACAATTCCATTCGAGCGAATCACGTGTTCATATCCTTGTTGGGAATGACGGGGTACTTCAAGCTATGCAAAAGGCGGATATTGTTCTACTAGCGTGTAAGCCATATACAATCGAGGGAGTACTCTCAATGCAAGGAGTTAAAGAGGCATTGGGAGGAAAACTGGTGATTAGTGTAGCAGTAGGAACACCGGTGGAAAAAATGACGGCTGCGATCGGAATCTCAGAATCTTCCATTGGAAAAGGCAAAGGAAAAGAAATTGCCATCGTCCGCGCAATGCCGAGTCTAGCAGCCAGTTTCGGGGAATCAAATACCGTAGTGGAAATATCTCCTTCGATGGTTCTTTCGCAACAAAATAAATCTATTGTTCGCTACATTTTTAGATGTATAGGATCGATAGTGGAGGTGGGTCCTGGGCAATATGATGCGGCCAGTGTCATGGCGGCAACGAGCATGGCGTTTTTAACAGTGGCGCTCGACGGGATACTAGATGGGGGCGTGAAGGAGGGGATTAAGAGGAGTGAGGGAAGGGATATCTTGGTGAGGAGTTTGAAGGGCTTGGTAGGACTGTTGGAGGGTAAGGGAGAAGAGAGCAGTGGGGATGATGGAAAAAGAGATGGGAAAGCGAATGGCTGGCAAAAAGAGAAGTCGAAAGGAATGACGGGCGATGAGATTAGAGAACAGTTCAGTAGTCCGAGAGGAACGACGATTGAGGGGCTGGTGGGACTGGAGGAGGACAGAGTGAGGTATGCATATTGTAGGAGTGTGATGAGAGCGACGAAGCGAAGTTTGGAAATGTAGATTTATTATTTTTTGGCGTTTCAGATTTATGCATATACATTAGTGTTTTCGAACAAGTGTTTCAATCTTTCACTTTGTTCTTTCCAAATTCCATTTGGCCTGTGCTCCGGCTCTTACTCTTTCCCAGAGCAGCGTAACTAAAGCGTTAGCTCCTAAAAGTCTGACGAAGTAGAAAATCAAGGAACAAAACTGGAAAGGGTACAGAACAATCAGCTTCGAGTCATGGAGAAGGTACCTGAGGTCGAGCTTCAAGCTCGTGATGTGCATGGGAAGGAGGTATCAACTACAGCGGACATGATTCGATACGTACCTTAGATACTATTCTTCATTGCAAGCTACCCGGAGACGGTTTTACTATCCAAGGGGAAACATGGTGAGCAACACCCAGTCATGTGCTCGCCGTTATTTCAAGAAATCTATTCTAGTATTGCAGAACAGCAACGCACACTTGCTGTACAGGATCGAGCCACGAATGCCCCCAATCTTTAATTAAGAAGGGTTAGAAGCCTAGTATGTGTTGAGAGTAACGATACTGAGGAGCTGTCTTCCTTCAACGGATATGTCGGAACGAATTTGAGAATGCCATGGATTTAAGATTACACCACTCCTTTGGTACACCAATACGAGATTCTGAGAAGACCGCTAGATTCAAAAGGAGGAGCAACCCACACCATTTTGCGTAAAATACCTTGACATTTCATAAGCGTACTCTCTAATACAACTTGTGAGCAGCTAGCGCAGCTTTCCTGTTAAACGCCGGTAGCATTTTCCCTCGATATTGCCATCACGTTAAACCTGGGGTTACATGGCCCACTTCAACGTCGATTTAACCTTAAAGATCTGGCTTGAGACAAAAATTAACTTAATAAGATTGCGCCCAGCTATGTGGTGGCGCTTTTGCTAATGTTAAACTTACCTCGTCGTTTACTCCTGCTGCCAAAGATATCGGTGAGAGATATATTTGATAAGATAAGTGTTGAGTGTGATTGGTCGAAGAGAAGTCTTCATAGCTGCTTTAATGATTCTATAGGTAAGCTCGTACGCTGCTATCGCTACTTTAAAACGGCCAGCCAGATGACAAATCAGCACATCCACCATCGCGCGTACCGATGAAATTTCGAGATGAAAAAATCAACCTCAATCAATATTGACGCTCTCATACCCTTTCAAAACGAATCAACATACCGACAGAGGAGTCATTTATACGAAAACTACGAATTATCTAGGCCAGAATCCTCTCACAGAAAATTGAAATTATACATGTATCTAAACGCAACGACTGTTCATCTGAATTGAGAACTTGAAACTGTTCAGCCGCTTTCTTCAAGCTACTGGTCAATGCTATGAAACGAAAGAAGACATATTAAACTCCTTTCGGGAAATTGAGCAAGCCCTTAAGTCAAAAAATGCCACAATTCTGTACAAATTCGTTTCGTGGCATAGATCTGACAAGGTTAGGCGTTTTTCTTCTACCCTTCCACTTGGTACCAATGCTGGAAACGCGAAATACTGTGATCAAAATCCATTCAGCTGCTTTACTAGCCAAATGCAGAAAAGTGGGATGAACACATTAACCAATCAGTATAAAGAACGGTTATAGAATAAGGGGCTAGGCTCTTTCACCTACAACTCACCAATCGGAGGAAGTGTGCTCTTGTAAGCACCAACGATCGGTTCGACACTTGGATGAGCTCATCTAAAGTCTTCGCGCTGGCCAAGCCATAGAAAGTGATGGTAACCGATATTGACCTGCTATAGGACTATGTCAATTATTGATTTTTGGGTCTCGATATTATCATACCGCAAACATTATTGGGACTTTCAGATCGTCTGCAGACCATTTACCTAAAGACAGGTTAGCAATGCTCCAGAATTGCGATTTTCTTGTCTTCCAACCCCTCTCGAGATTTACTTTGAGATTTTCCTATGAGCTCATCCAATGTAAATGAAAGGATCCATCTATGAACACACGTTCTCACGTCATCCAATTATATGAAGATGAGACACCAAAACTCTGGAGCAAGGCTCAACTGCTTTACAAATGATCTTCACCAGTGTGGGATCACCTTGTAGCTACTTTGTAGTGGGTCGTTTAAACCCCTGACTTGTTGGAATAAAATCCCCGAAGAGATCCAATTTTAGGACCACAAACGCTCGAGCCACATAGCCCACCATTCAACCTCGAAAGAATCGTAGCCTTCCTGTCAATAAGATCGAGAAACCAATTTCCCGACCGATTCTCAGCAATGCCATAGAATTCTGGGCCTTGGCTTACTTGGGAGCTCCGGCGGCCATCATGGGCTTGAATATAAAGTCTGCCGATTCCCGCTCCTCGGCTTGCCATACTGGTCTACAGGAACGTCCGATCCTATTGCTCCTTCATCTCTTTCACAAATTAGTAGCGTGACTTTATTGGCTTCAGACTTGGCACGAGGCATATTGAAGAAATCAGGAAGTCATTTACACCAAACTTTATATTATCACGCGGCCATTCACAGAAAAGGAAAGTAGTGTGAATCATCGAATTTTAATTGATTCATAAAGTCCTGAAACCTGCTTAAGAACAACGCACGAAACCTCTTCCACAGACAAAGTACTACCAGACAACATGCATATCTCTCTGCGTCATATTTTGGCTTCGCTGTCCGTAGCAGCCCTCACTTCTTCGGTTGTCGAAGCTATCCCAACAAAGATCCAGCGATATTCCGAGTCGTCTTTGTTAGCGAAGCGCGCAACGGCTGGAGAAAGCTTGACCCGAGCGGACTTTCAAAACTACGCCTCATCAGCTATCAATGCTCTCCAGAAAACATACTGGAACGCCCCCTCCGGACTATGGGGCTCCTATGACAAGAGCGGAAAGTTCTCCCCACAGTGGTGGCCTTCCGCCAATGTCCTCACAATGATGGCGAACTACTATGGAAAATACCCAACCACGGCTACATGGATGCCAGATGTTTTTGCGACAATCTTGACGCATGCCCCAGCGTATGCGAAAGGATTTCTTAATGATTACTATGATGATGAACTTTGGTGGGTATTGGCTTGGATTCAAGTTTATGATGCGACTGGAAATGTTACCTATCTTAATACCGCGGCTGAAATCTATGAAGATTCCAAGAGTGTTTATGGCAATACTCCTTGTGGTGGCTTATGGTATGTTTATTTCCATTCACTCTCAGTCAAATGACTACCCATTTCCCCTTACACAAATTACGACATAATCTCTTTGCAACTCGTCATGTGGCCCCATTCGCAAACAGTGTTACAAAAGTTGAACAAACATACTAACAATCAATCAGGTGGGACAAGAACCACGCCGGTGTCAACAGTGTAGAAAATGAGCTCTACCTCACCGCCTCCGCCAAACTCGCCAACCGCCTCCCCGCGAGAAAGAACTCTCAAGGTCAAGGTTACTACTTTTCCCAAGCTCTGATTGCTTACGACTTCCTTATCACCAACATCACTACCTCCATGAACCCCTCTACTCATCTCTTCAACGACGGCATCTCCATGACCACATGCAAAAACAACGGAAAAATCGTGTTCACTTACAATCAAGGGATTATCCTATCCGGTCTGACCGAACTCACCTGGAGCACAAGAAGTCATTCTTACACTGCCCTCGCGGTTCAAATTGCCAACTCAGTCATCGCCAACATGACTACCTCTGAGGGAATCCTGCAGGAAAAAGCCTGCGAGCCTAATTCCTGTAATGGAGACGAACAACAATTCAAAGGTGTCTTTACACGCAATCTCTCATTCATGGTTAACAGAGCTACCGGCATGGACGCAGATGTTCTCGCCAAGTATCGAGCTTTCCTAGCGCTCAATGCAGAGAGTATTATTCGCAAGGATACTAGTAGTGATAACATGCTCGGATTGGTTTGGAGTGGCGCCACCAAACCGGTGTATAGTGTGCAGACTGATGGAAGCGCACTGGATACGCTTGTAGGAGCTGCTATCACGGCTTTGAATTAGGGATGGGATGGGATGGGATGAAGATGATGACTCGTGATGTGGATCGAAGGACAGGTTATGAAGATATGATAGAGAGGAAGTAATGATGTACCCATTCCTCAAACGCCTTTTATTACTGGAGCAATTCCCCATCGGAAACTTGCGCATTTATTGCTGTGGAAGCAGGCAAAGCGTGGATTTTTTTCTCTTTTCCTTGGCGGGGGCACAACAGATACCACTTTGCATTTGTATTATTTATTTATCTCACTTGGCGTTTGGGGTGCGGGCTGGAAAATACATCATCACGAGCGTTTTAGGGAGTTTCTTTGGGATGGAGTTCAATTGAATGAAGTATGATGATGATAATTCAGTCTGAGACTGATTTATAATCACATCTTCGGGTTTGAATATTTACAGACAGGAGTGTGGAAGGTTCCACGCTGTATAGTACATAGGTAGATAGCGTTCGCACATAGGTACATACAATATAGCATGGTTTAACGCCTTACACATTTCATATGTAAGATCTTACACACACGATCTAAATCCATCCCATCTATCATATCCATCACATTCGAAAATCTAGACCCCAAAGACCTCAAACCCCCCCCCCAAAAATCCACAACCAATGAATCGGAAATCGGAAATCGGAAATCATCTATCTATCCACATGTTTGAGATAAGAAAATGAAAGAAAATGCAAGAAAATGCATAACATTGAGATGAACCACAAACGAAGAACCATGTAGCGATCTCTCGCTTGGTGGGGGGCAGGATGCGTAGATGGAGGGAGGTTCCTTGTACATTGGTATATCATGTAAAGCTATGGTTCCACAGTGTGGGTTTGGTTTATGTGAAACGATTCCCTATTACATATATTATATTTTTTGATGGGTTTGGGTTGTTTGGATTATAGGGGTGTGTTTTTGTTTGGGGAGTGGAGGTTGTTGAAGTGTTAAGGTGGATGGATGGGTTGCTGTTGGTGCTAATTAATGAGATGGAGATGGGGATTGGAATTGGAATGTCACGGACTGGTTAGAAAAGGGTAACGAATGGCTAAAGATGCATGAGAATAGAAAGCAAGGTCGAATGGAATCATTTGTTTGGGGGTGAAGTAAGCTGATATGGCGATATTATGGAGTGGAAAGTACAGCTCATAGAAAAACCTCGATCATGTACAAATCATCGCAAAACATTTTGAATTTGAAGTGTATGAATATCATTGATGTACCAGAAACTACTTTAAGCCTCATGATTCTATCATGCCCTCGATTCGATTCCCATCGTGCCCTTGTATGCTCTAACCGCGATATGTGTTTTCTAGCACTCAATGATTCATATGGAATCATTCCTTCGCGGTGCTCCAAATCGAATGCCCTACCACATATGTTTCGAAAGTCGTAGAAACCATCAATAACAAACTAGGAGCGAGCCAACTAGCCATCCAGCCAACCACTCAGAGCGTGAGAGGAGTAACAAAGCCGGTGTTTTGACTATTGGTCGGGGACATGAAATGCAAAGCGAGACAAGTAAAATAAAATACAAAGCAACGGATCATTTAGATGATTTCATCGGGCACAGCTCCAATATTTCCTTGCTATGTATATCCAGAGCCCCTCCTGGTAGCGCTTCACTGGGACAGTCAAAGTTGCCAACCTCTTTGACCGCGTGATCCATAAATTTCTGAAATCTCTCTCCGTCAGTTCCTCCTTCATTCCAATGAACATCGCAATTGCGTATTTCATTTTTGAATCGAATCAGGAGTCGCTGCTTAAATTGATCCGTAAAGCGACAGCGGCCAATGCATAGGTTTGCTACGGGTTTATGGGCAACGAAGCTCAAATTCAGAGCGCGAACCACTGTTTTATACAATTGGAATGGAGTCGAATCGTAACTTTCTTTTCTCGGTAGAGGCCACAGATTGCGCTCGCTCAGACATTTGCTCATGAGCCCGTACATTGCCAATGGGCATAGCTCTTTGCATGGGCTGTCCATATTGGGGTCCAAGAGGCATTTCATGATATTTGCCGTAAATCTTAACATCAGGTTGTAAATCATATCTTTGCGCAAGCGAATGATTGCATCTATTGGTTATTAATGCAACGAAAAGTAATCCGCGACATAGAGCTCACCCGTGATTTCCAGAGGTAATGGACTCCTTTCCAGACCCAACGGGTAGCGTTTAGTTTTGAGGGTGCGATTTTCGCGGTATAATGACGGATCAAGCAGCATACATCCCCCATCTTTGCCAACGGATAGTCGCAGTGCCAGCATTTTCATCATGTGGTAGAGTTCTTCTTTTCTCCCAAAGTAATAGGCAATCCACAACCATCCTTCTCGGTGTGGTAGATACGCCTCATTTGCCTCATCTTTCAACCAACCCTGAATCCATGGTTTAACCAGACTTCTACAGTCGTACTGATCGCAGATAACGGCAACATTGTATAGAACTTCGTACGGTAATTGCGAGGGAATCTTAGAGAATTTCAGATGCGCAATCTGCAGAAGAATTAACAAAGCTTCTGGATTGTCTTCTGTGAAATCCAACTCGATGTCGGGAAATGGCTCTTCGGGAACTGCGCGGGCTTTCTTCGAATTTGGCTCTTCTTCATTTCCAAGTGAGGATAGAAGAGGGAATGGAGGAAACACGAACTTCTTCCAAACTGGGCTGGCGAAGCAAAGCGCATGAGAGGACAATTTGAAAGTGATTATTCGTTCATCATGTTTGGCTTTGGCTCGCACGTCGCCGTCCTCGAAAACGAAAGGATGCTCCTGATTTTCCATTTTGTTGCACTGGAATTTTCAGTGATTTTGTAGTCGCAGTCGTGGTTGTAATTGCGGTTATAATTGTGATGCGATTGTTATTGTATCAACGAGCACTTGAAGTTTTCGTGCTTTTAACTACCGTATAGGGAATGGGGGTCATATATGGTGGTTGTACTACCCCTGTAATATAGAATCTGTTGTACAACGAATGTAATTATTGAAATGGATATGTAATGGATGCGAATTCGAAGCTATCATGACCTCCTAATTTAGAATAGTATATTTTGGTTGAAGCTAATAATAAGTTGAAATTCGAAATAATTGAAGAATAAAAATGATTGCAGGGATTAAATCGATTGCTTTAGTTTTAAGGTTGAATCTAGTTATATTTAATAGCTTTAAATTAATTGACAAAAATATTATACTTTCTTTTTTTCTTTTAATTAATTACTATACAATATTGATAGGGGCAATATATAAAAGTTATACCAAACTAATAGCACTTACTCAATATCGTTTTAGAACTTCAGAATCAATATAATTCATTTTTTTGAATTCAGAATAATTCGATTTAACTAAAATTCATTTTAATAGCGTTATACAAAATATAGGAGGGGTATAATAATTGGTATACAGTTGATAATTAATTGAATTCTTTATAAAATAGGTGTATTCTGAATAGTTTCAATTCTATATATTAATTAATATTTAAAATTTCAAGAATTATATCCATTCCACATCTATAGAATTTATTATATTTATAGAATCCATTATATCCGTAGAATCCATTACATTCATTACAGCATTTCAATTATTATTTGGTAGCTTTTTTTTGAATCAGATAAGAGCATTTAATTGGCTATATACCGGTTCTACATCCATTATACTACGGACATAAAAACCCCTCATTTCCTCCCTATTCGTAGGAGAAAAAACAGGCGGAATTTGACAATTCAATTTTTCATTGAAATCTTCTAACTTAATTGAATAAAAAATAACCAAAAGAAATATCAGCTTTTTATTGTTCAGAAAATATTTCGAAATTTTATTTTTTATAATATTGAAGGGAAATAATTGAATTGTAAAGGATATCTTAGAAATGGTCGAATTCCGCCTGTTTTTTCTCCTACGAATAGCCTCCTAGGTAAGTTTGAAAAGCTTAGCGCGCAGTTTCCAGCTCGGATAAAATACGCCCGACCATTATAATAAGGTGTTTGGAATTCACTGTTACGGTTTATTAGAGTGAACTTGTTCTTTCTTACTATTTTTTCTTCGCTGGCTCATCCATTTTCCCCATTTAGTGCCAAGCGTCCCGTGACTACTCCCGGTTTTGTTTCCCTGATCAGACCGTACTGAATGTGAACAATCACCACCTCCTTCCACATTTGTCATCATCTCAAGTTCCCCAAGTGGTACCATGCTCACTCGCCCGTGTGCACACATGAAAGGAAACTTGCAGTTTGCCAATCTTCTAACCAACTCTCTGCACTCATCAACACCAAGTTCATCATTAAACATAATTGCAGTCCTACAAGCTCTACTATTCAACAGCTCCAAGATGCTCTTTGGGATGTGAGCTATCCTCTCAATCCAAGTGGATGCTGGGGTAACGGTAGGATGCAAAGTTGGATTCTCATGATACGAATAAAGCTCTGTACGGAGAATATGAAGGAGTAGGCTTGGATTTGCGACAAGTCTGGCAGTTATCAAGGGTGGAAGATATCGGACGGTGATAGTGATACCCGTTGGCGAAACTGAATAAATGATTCCCCAATAGCAAAAATGATTCATGTAGGTACGAAAAAGCTGAGAATCTTTTGTTGAGATATTAAAGTTAAGGGATTTCTCAAGAGGGGTAGTGAATACTGATGCTGACGCTGGAATGTTTGAGACTGTGGGCGATGTAAGAAAATCAGATAAAAGAGTTTCTATTCGAATTCGTTCGTCCGCTGCGTGCTGATCGATAATCACAAGAAGAGAACTCGAATCTTCTCCAGCTATAGATCTTCTTTGAAGATTGGCCAGAATAAACTTTTTATCTACTTGTGAGATGATCTCTGCGTCTCGTAAAGCTTCTTTTGAGATGCGCCCATGAAGTCCTGATGAAGTGTCTTCAAATGCCTTCTCGATTTCAGCTTGCGAACAGTGTTGATGACGACCATGTATAATTTCTTGTGTCTCCAGATCTAGCCCATCCATCGATACCTGAGGTATTGAAGGTTGAGCAGGAGCGAACACTGGATTCTCCCACCTATTCAGAATGTCATCGATCCATGGAATAGGCTGCTTATCGCTTGTAAGAGACTTTTTGACCGCAGTCAAGCGAGAAGATGAATTGGAAATAAAATGTTTTATGTGCTTTCTGTCCTCTTTCTTTTCAGATACGACAAGACCCGTCCGCCTGTTCACTAGAGATTTGACTTTATTTACAGGATTGACCCATACAGCCAGTCCATCTCCATTTACATCTGATTCTTGCACTTTATCAGTGAACGGTGTTGCTTTGGAGATTGGTGCTTGACTTTCTTCGAAAGGATATCGAGTCAATTGTCCTGCTTTGGAAAACAGAGCTGTTTCTGCTCGCACCTCCACCTTTGAGCTAACTTGTACTGGTGTACTAAAGTTTTCTGGCGTATTTGTAAACTTTCTATGTGGTTGTTCAATCCCTGTTTTGATTTTTGACCAAGACCCAAAAGGGAAATCAGACGCGGAATGCGACTGACGAAAAGAAGGAAGCTTTACTTTCGTTCCCAGCGTATCTATTCTGACTCTTTTCTGGCTGTAATTCTCGTCTCCATCACCAGAAGACTCCGGCGTAGTTGGGAAAGTCTTCATATCTTGACAAGATTGGTTGGTCTTGGTTGGTCCACTTTGCTCCAGAATCTCTGAATTTGTTGTTGAAGTGGCCAATTCTGATCTCTTAGTGCGATTCCCCCGTGCCAGTTTTGGCCGGAAATAATTCATGGTTAGAAATTCTACAACAATCGCGTGCAAGAATTCCAGAATCTTGTCAAGAGTATTCCGCTTCTCGTCTAACACATCGTCAACCTTTAATCTTGCATGCTTTAATGGATCGACTTGGTGAACATTGATGTAAAACATTGGCCATCGATCAACACTCTTCTTCCCTGCTTTGAGCTCTTTGTTGGTGTACCCATCACCCTTAAACCTTCGGTCCTTAGATCTCCTTTTCAATTCAATTTCATCGAGCTCACTTTCCTCCTCTTGATTTCCGAACGAGGAATTGAGAAACCAACGATTGATTTCATCATAAATGAAATTACAGTTGTCTTGAGAAATCAGAGGTTCTATCCCAAATGCTAGAAACTGAATGTGCTTGGTTGCATTTGGAATCAGAGAAATCGCGCCATTGACAATCAAGCTTGACGTGGAGGCACTAACAGGTATCCAGGATGACTTTTCATCAATTGCGATATATGAGGCTTTGGAGAGTATACTACAAGTATTGAACAGATCAACACTTCCAACTGGGCGCCATTCAGATGTTGCCTGAGACCTTCGGATGGTAATTTTCTGGTCTGTACCATTTTCCTTTATAGATACCGAAATATCTTTTGGCCATGCGAGCAACAGCGAGACAATATCTTTACGTAAACCATCCCACATCTGAGCAATGACCTGTCTGTTTCCAGATGCAATGGCTCTCTGCTTTACGCGTACTGGCATACTGCCGAACAGATCTCGAACAGTAACACGTGTACCGTGTTCAAAAGAAGCAAGATGATGTTGATCGGGGGCTGGGGTTTGACGTGACACAACTTCGGATCTATGCATATTTATTGAATTGTGCGAGTGGTGCAGATGATGATGCGAAGTGATTGAGAGTAAGGATAAAGCAGATAACGAGGCAATAAACGTTCCGTAGCCCCCATGAGTTGGATTCGAGGCATTTAGCTTCGAAGAATCTGGCATAGGTAAGTTATATCTCTTGATGCGTCAGAAGGTATGTGATAACATACGATAGAGCTTTCCCAAGCCTCCATTCTCCCCGAATTCTGATGGCAATATACCAAGTCCATTGTCCTCTACTGTACAACTGCCACGGCTATAGTCTACATCCATATCAATCCTGGAGCAAGAAGCATCCAAACAATTCTTAACAAGCTCAAAGATGACACCATTAAGGGTGGTAATGGTTGAAGAGGATTTTATTTGTGCTATTACATCTGGAGGCAATGGTTGTATAGACATAATGAAAGCAATAAGCTGGTCGTTTATATGAGTATGGGCAGATAAACAGATCAGATACCACACACGATTCATGTGGGTGAAATCATATTGCTCTGTAGGAAGGAGTAGAATGGGCAAGAGCCATCTACCAAAATCATGTGAATGGTTAGTACTGTAAGGATCAATTCATCGTAGGAAGAAGAAGTCATCCACGTTGAAAACCCTACATATATGGGGGTATCGCAGCCACAGTTGTATTCAGATATAGGTATACCACTGAAGTATGAATGAAAACCCTTCAACTTTCGATGTTGAAGCATCAGAACCATTCGAGTAGATCACATGATCCGTTTCTAATCTGACACTAAGCCTTAGCTAGACTAGCTAGCACGCAGTAGTAATTATGACGGTCGGAGGTTTAGATGTGAATCATCCGAAGGGTAAGCTGCAGCTTATGTAATCCATTATTGAGTCGATTGATTGGTTCAATGGATTGATCGATCAAATCAAGCACCAAACAAGCACCAAGGGTTTTTGGCACTAGAGAAGAGAGACCTTGGTTAGAGTGATGGGCATTAGAATGAATCAGCGAATTTCCATTCAAACCAAATCATCATCGTCGTCTGAACTTCTTCTTTTGTTCTTATCATTGTGCCAAAGATACTCGTAAAGGTATCAAATTACATCTGAATTCCCATTTTTCTTATGTGAGAGAGAATTTTGGTGTCTTGTTCCTTTTACTCCTTCTTTCTTCTTTCTTTCTTATCTGCCTAGGGCAAAGGGCAAGGCAAGGCGAAGCAAAGCAAAGCAAAGGGAAATACCGAGAT